GGGGGAAGGGAGGAGGCGCGGGGAGGCAGGGCAGGGTGGCCTTCAGCTTGGGGGGATTTGGAGCTCGAGGGAGCCCCGGTGGCCCGAAGCTGCGGGGTAGAGGCTGCAGCCTCGGGGGTAGGGGGCTCCTCGGAGCCAGGCCCGGGTTCCCCGGACAGAGCGACCCGCCGCGGCTCTGGAAGGCAGCGCGGAGGGCGGGCGAGCACCTCCGCGGAGCCCTTTATCCCTCCCCGCGGCCTGCACCCTTTCACTGCCAGCCGACCGCGGGCTGCTCTCAAAGGAGCAGCTGCTAGACAGCTGGCTAAACAATGGAGACCCCGCTTCCCCGGGCCCCCTCCCCTTGGGACAGAAGATGGGGGGTGGGGGGTGGACGGTAGGCTTTGGAGATTAGGGAGTGCGGGCTGTCCCCTGTGACTGGCTGGCTGCTCACCTCACCTTTCCCTGCAAAGGGGTGGGGTGCGTGTGGGTAGGTCAGACAGCCTGCCCCAGGCCTCTGGGAGAGACTGCCCTGACGCCCCGCCCTGCTAACCTGTCATGCCAGTTGTTTCAACAATGGGCAGGGGAGCTGGTAAGTTAGCTGTCCCCCACCCCCGTTGGGGGCTGCTGCTTGGTACCAAGCCTGGTGAGGAGTGGGCCGTGTTCCTGGCTGAGATAAGGCCTACAGGGACACACCACACATTGGGGCTTTGTTGTGGGGGTAGAGGGTGGGGGTGTCACCCTGTTGCAAGGCACATGTGTCCTGCTGATTAGTTGGAAAGGCTGCCAGCCAGAATGAGCTGGGGGGTGGGGGTAGGGGAAGGCATCCAGGTTGTTTTTGTTCAGGACTCCTTTTGCCAGGTTTAGCATGTGTTTGACAGAGTCCTCATGGTTTGTGTTTGTGTAGGGAGGCCTGGAATGATGCTTCCTGGGAGGAGCTCTCCTGTTTAGCACCTTCCTGCCCTCAGATGGTCCTCCAAAATTATGGAATTGGATTCCCTCCCCCATTCACCTTGCCAATGACTTGGGCTGGTTTGCGTGGATTCGTTTTATCTTTTGAGTGCCTGGCATGTCTGTGGTTGAGAAGGCCTTGTAAATCTCCCCGAGTTTGAAGTATGTATGCATTGGACCACACTGGAAGGGAGAAAACATGTCCAGGCAATTAAGAGCAAGATCACTTTAGCAAGACATTGACTCTAGAGGTTCAAGCTGCCTTTCTGTGTGCTTATCAGGTCTGGAGCCCTCTTTTTGGGAAAGTAGGTGTCCTGTTGTCATGGCAATGGGCACAGCCTTGCCTAACCAGTCCCCACCCTTTTGGTTCAGGGGCTATTTTCTATATGGGGATATTGAAAGTTGCTCTCCTGAGGTCTCTGGCTTCCTGACAGACCTCACTGGCTCTTTGTCAATGGCCTGCCACCTCCTCAGCTTCCCCTCTGATGAGGTCTTTCCAGGAAACATCCTCCTGTTTGCTGGACATGACTGGTTATATATAGCCTTGGGTGGAGGTGTGCTTGGCCATTTGGGGTTGGGGACATTGGAGTTGGGGCCTCAATTCCAGGAAGACAGTAGGGGAAGCTATTGTGTTGGGGGTTTAGGGAACTGAGAAGGGTTGCAGGTGGGCGTGGGAGGGATAGCATGCTGGTGGTCACTTACTTTAGGCGCTTTGAACTTTGAACAGTTGATGACCTGGTGCCTGGCAGCTCTGATCATCTAGTTTGTTTACTCTTTTCCAGTCTGGCTCAGGTGCCAGGGTGTGTGCCTGAGGCCTTCCTCCCATGCCCCAGGCTCTCCTCAACTGCCCTCACTCTGATTGTGCCCTTTCTGACTCCTGCCCGGTCCCTTAACCTCACTCCCTGGCAGTCTGGACAGCCAGCGTGTTGTCTGGGACTCCCTTCACTGGCCCAGCTTGAAACTGCTCATTGAGGGGTGCATGTGTCTTCAGAAGTTGGGCCTGAAAACTCTGGGGCCCCCAGAGGCAGGTACCTGAAGGCAGACTGGGTGGGGCAGAGCTGGGGCTTATATGAAAGGGAGAATCCACCCTCCTCGGGTGGAGCAGGGAGTTGTTGGAACTAGGGAAGGCTCAATCCCAACTTGGTGTGTCATAGGTCTCCAGGGCAGCAGCACTGTTCTTGTTCCTTCAAACCAAAGGTCTGCCCCCAGCCAGACCTCCTTCACCTGGAGTGGACACCACAGACTGGAACCAGAGCATCCATGTGAGCGGGGTCCTGTTGGTGGCCTTGGGCCCCAGTCCTTGTCCCAGGCCTCTCCTGGGAGTGGTGGGTAATGCTGAGGTAGTTGAAAGGTTTGAGGGGATAAGAGGACCCAGTCCACTTTGTGTTGTGATTAACAGGTTCCCCCAGGACTTGAGGTGGGGGCTTCGTGGAGCTCTTAAGTTCTGTTTTGGGACATGCCCGGGGTGCTTTAAGATCTATTCACTGCACCTAACCCCCATCACCATTTTCTGAGGTGGACTGAACTCGAAGGTAGGGTGGTGCAGTGGTAGGAGCTGGATGGGGAGGGGAGGGAGCAGACCTGGAAAGCCCCTCCCCCCTTACTTTCCTGCCCTTTCTCTGGAGATAGGAATTGCTGGCCTATAAATTATCCACATTCCTTTGACGTTTCAAATAGCTTAGAGTCAGGCAGCAGTTTAAATTGTGGACTGACGATTTTATAGGGCCCAAGGCCCTTTCTCTCTGCCAAGTTACTTTTATCGTCACTTCCAAGGGATTATTTTTATTATTTTCTGATATTCAGAGATGTTGGATGAAGGGCTCAAGGTCACACAGCCAGTCAAGAGGCAGACCAGGATTAGAACCTGCGGTGTGTGGCGGAGCAGAATACCTCTCCCGCAAAGGCAGGGACTTGGGGCCAAGCGTGACCTCTCAGGCCCATGGACATTTTTATAGTCGAAATAGCCGAGGCCCAGAGAGGGCACAGGACTTGCTCAAGGTCACGCACAGAAGGTGGGGGTGCAGGGGGGTTGTGTTCAGCGCCCCCGCGGGCTGCAGCAGGCTCCCCGTGAGGCTGAGGAGTTGCACCTGGAAGAGCAGCGAGGGACCTGGCCGGGCTGCTGGCACCCTCCCCCTGGAGCTTCTCCCGGGGCCTGTGAGACCGGGGCCCGCGGGCTCGTTCCTGAGGAGCCGGTATCGCAGCGGGAGGTGCCCCCGGGCCGCGGCTGCCTGGAAGTGCTGCGGGCGGGCGGCGGGGAGGGAGCGGGGAGCCCGGGGCCGGCGGCTG